TAGTTTTAAAAAAATAAAATAAAATATTTAAAATTTATTAATTAAAACAATAATTGAAATAAAATATTTATATATATTTATTTTTTAAAATATTAAAAAAATATTAAATATGTAAATTAAATCCTTCCTAATTCCTCTAATTTAAAAGGATAAAAATCAAAGGAGTGGAAATAACTTTATCACCCTCTGTAAGGATAGATCCGAGGTCCTTAATCTCGGACGTACTGTAACAATTCCTTAATAATCGAAGTGAAGTTAAATCCAGCACTCTCGGTCAAACGACTGCACGATAAATATAGTGGGCATCCTCACACATGATTTATCACATATTTCGTCAATCCTGAATTTGTCATCGGTCCTCAATTTATCTCTTTAAGGGACACGTCATATTCCAATCATCCTGCTAAACAAGCCAGATGGATACCTCATGAAGGCCTATAAATACTCCCCAGGAGCTACGTCAAAAAGGTAATTGAAACCATCTTAAAGCTCCTTTTTCATTAGTCCAGAGATAAACAAGATTATTGCTGACTTAGGTATCGAAGTGTGTACCCCGAGGACCCATATTGAAACTTTGCAGGTTTATCCGAAGTGAAGATGCAGATTAAAAAAAAAATCTCTGATTTGGTGCAATTACACCCTCCCTCTCTACTAATAAAGAAAAACATATAGAGTAAGGGAGACATTTATCCCTTTCTCTCCCCCATTCTCCCTCCAAATCCACCGATATAAATAGGGGTTTAAGGTACGTAGTAGCTTTTCTCAAAAAAAAAAAACAAAACAAAACAAAACAAAAAAGATCTAGGAAAGCTAAATCAATTTTCACCCTTGGCTCGGCCTGAAAAATAAAATTGCGAGACTTATTCATATTAATTGATTACAATTTACATTAATCAATTATAAAGCTTAAATTGAACCTCACATGTGAATCAAGTGGTCTTAACCACTCTTATAAGATTTAAATCTCTCTTTTCAAAGGTAATGGCTCGAATCAATCTCATAAATAAATGTTCAAAAAAAATTATAAAGCCTAAATTCCTTTTCTAAATGAGTTAGTTTTTTGAATTTAATAATTTATTTTTAAATCTTACTACTTGAGTAAAATTAATTAAAATTTTAATTTTTATCAATTATTTAAATATTTACACTTAATTTAA